GTCGTTTGGCCATAAGACCTGTTCCGCCTCCTCGTCTACCGCCACCTACCGTGCCACCAGGAAGCCAAAACTCCCCGTTCCCCCCTCCACCTCACCGGAGGGCCCTATGAGGAGGGATCTGGCGATTTCCCCCCGTTTCCCCCCTCACAAAAACACACACGCATACACACGCGCGAATCCGCCACGCCTACCTTCGCCTGGCCGCTGTCTGCTGCCGATGTGAAGGCCAGCGCCCTCCCCGGGTAATTGCCCACCAGCGTCTCCCCCATACCCACCACTACCTCCCCGAGCAGTTCCCCTGCGGGGGGGGGGAGGGGAGGGAGGCGGGAGGGGGGGAAGGGGGAAAAGCTGTGTCAACAACAAACAAGGCCAGACGGAGGGAATCTGAATACCCTGGAACCACCACCACGCGGAAGGGTTAGGGGGAAAAGACGTGAACCACGTGAGCGAGTGAAGCTGCTGCCAAGGAAAGAGGAAAGTGTGCTGCGGCCGATGTGCAGGACGGTAGCAGGACTGACCAGTCGGCGGGGAGGGGGAGGGGGAGGGGGCAGGGGGGAACCATAAGAGCTCGACACGAGCAAAACCACGGAGGTGACGCGGGGGGGAGGAGGGTGTATGTGTGTAATGAGTGAATTTGCAGAAGTGTGTATGTGTGCAGGTGGGCTAGGCAAGGGGAAGGGTGGGTACCCATACACATCCACGCAACACACGCTGGCACCTACCGGGCGTGTGGGTTACGGGGTTGGACGTGTGCAGTACGAACGCATACCGGAAGGGCACAACCTGTGGCAGGGGGAGGGGCAGGGGGGATTGGGAGACAAGGAAATGAGAACATGTAACATGTAGGATACACGCATCTACGCATCCATTCCATACATACATACGATGGTGGAAGGCATTGCGCCCCTAGTTGATGGACGGTGGTGACCTGGGATAAAGTTAACACATCGTACACCACATACATGAAGAGACGTGCGAGAGGGTGCAAGGAAGCAAGCGCCTCCGTGTGTCGGGACATATATCTCCCTGGTCCCACCCTGGTTTCGGAACATCGAAACATATGCTCAACACACGACAGACATCCACATGTTCAACAAACCCTAAGCCCCATCATACCCCCCAAACCCGCCTCCCTCCACGGCACCGCACAGCTATAACCCCAAGGGCCCCCAATCACAAACTCCCCCTCCCCCTCCCCCTCCCCCACCTGCTGCAGCAGTACCGACATGAACAGCTCCCCCTCCCCAATACCCAGCGCCCGCCGGCTCAGCCAGGCCCTGTCGGTCCATTTGGAGGCCCACACACGGCACACGGCGGACCAGACAGCAGCCCAGATAGCGCCCTCAGCACCGTCGTCGGCATTGGTGGCGGTGACGGAGGAGGAGGAAGACGAGGGCGACCACCAAAGATCAGCGGAGGGGATAAGGCCCTGCTCCGCTGCCGCCGCCGCCAGCTGCCGTACAAGTTCCGGAGGCGCTACCAGATCTGCGGGACGGAAATGGCGCGGTGTGTGTGTGTGTGTTGGGGGGGGGGGAAGGGTATTCAAAAAGTGGAGCCACCGTAGCGGGATCCGGTCGGGGACGGAGGGGGGAGGCAGGTGCATGGCGTTGGCAGCACACGGAGTATCAAGGCACGGAGGGTAGGGGGATGTTACGGAGAGTACGGATGTGGTCAACGGTACAGTCGTAAACGGTATAATTCCTAGAAAGCTTTAACTGTCAGCCATGCTGACAGGACGCCCCTGTGTCAGTCCCAACTAACTGCCGTACCGCTGTACTGCTGTACTGCTGTACTCACCTTCCTCCACCACACGCCGTAACTCCTCAAGCTCGTCCCGCGGGAAACCCCCCGCCGCTGCAGCCACAGCCGCCGCCGCCGTCAGGCGCTCCACCTCAGCCGCCGCCGCGGCATTACGCGGCTCCTCCGCCAGCACCCGCTCAAAGGTGCCGTACGGCAGAGCCACCGACGCCGGCACCCCAATGTCGTACTTGCTGCCGCCACTGGCGGCCTCCGTCAGGCGCCGCCGCAGGGTCGACAAGTTGAGGGCCTTGGCGCCCACAAGCCCCAGCCGGAAGTACGACTCGGATACGGCCCAAGCTGACGTCAGCTCCGGGACCTGGAGCGCGACCCGCGGGACGTTGGCGGCGGTGGCGGCGGTGCCAGTCGCCGCCGGCGCTGGCGCCTCCGCCGGCATGACGGCGCCGACGGCGGGGTCTACGACAGCCGCGGCGGAGGCCTCCGCCGCCGCCAGTCCTTGCCAGGACTTCCATGCATTGTCGTCAAAGCAGGTAGCTAGCAGTACGCGTTGACTGCGATGGGGTGGTTGGGATAGCGTTAGTTGGGATTGGGGGCACTTGAGGGCCAACAGTTAGGTTCAGGTAGTTGGGGGTTGTGCAACTGTGGGAACTGAACAAACTACCCGACTGAGAAGGGCAGGTTGGGGGGGACGAGGCGGCAGTTGGGGTCAGACAGCTAGTCGTCAGGTCGCAGCCGTTCACTGCAGCTGGCTACATCGGCACGGGGTTGGGCAGGGGCGGGTGGGAAAGACGAACCACGAACGAGTGAAGGTGCTGCCAAAGAGCAGAACTGAGCAGTAGGCGTTCTAGCGGTGGGTGGGGATTGAGGGGAGAAATCACCAGAAGTGTGGGGATGTCATCAACTGCCGACATGTGCTAAGGGACCCGGGGGAGAGGAGGGAAGGCGGGGGAAACACGGGGGAGACTGAGGGCGGTTGAGAGGGGGGGAGAAACACCTCCAGGACGCTCCAAGACTCAGTGGACCCACCTCAAAGCCCAAAAGGGGGGGAGGGGGAGGGGGGGAGGGGTTGACGGCACAAACGAACAAATTGAGGTGGAGCGTGTGGTTTTAAGGTGGGTGAGCTTCCAGGCCTAGTCACGTGTCCCACCACATGCAAGCCCGCTAGCAGCCCCAAGAGCCCCAGAGCCTCACCTCCTCGCCCGAATGGCCAGATGTGACAACACGTCTGTCGTACTGCGTGTCAGTACGGCAACCACGCCTGGAGGTATGTCCTCCACGCCGGTTAGGGCGCTCGCCAGCAGAACAGTGGGCTGGCTGTAGCTGCTGCCCTGAACCTCGGAAAGCGATGCTACAGCCACCACCCGACCCGCTACTGCAGCTGCCGTACTACCGCCGCCGGCCTGGCTGACAATCTGAGAGAATGACAGGGGCGTTGTTGGGGGGAGGGGGGACATGGAAGTGTGCGCGGTGTGCCCCGTGTGTGTATGTATGTATGTATGTATATATGTTGGGTTGGGTTGCGGGTGCAGGACCGTTTCACACGCCTGGCCTGTAGGGGCCCCCTAATAGCCCGACAGTACGGAGGTACGATAAAGCACAGCAAGGACGCGAGGAAGCGAGTATTTGGTGTGTGCGAGGCAGAGCGTGCGAGGCAGAGAAGAGAGAGAGAGAGAGAGAGAGCTGGTATGCCGTACACTACGACTCTGTGAATCCCTTCCCCAAAAGGTTGAGCCCACGACCCACCCACCTTCACCACCTACCTGCCACGGTGCCCCCCCCGCCGCCTCTCTCAGTTGGGGCTCCAACCGTTGCAACAACAAACTGACAACGAACAACGTCTGACCTCGGACCACCTCCTCGCCAAAGTTGGTGACGTGGACGGGATCCAGACGGCAGGTGGATCCGAAGGCGGCAGCGTGGGGCTGCACCTGGGGGGAGTGAGAAGGGGATCACATGCAAGGTGCAAGATGCGGGGGGGGGATCCGAAAGCATGTTTGTATGTATATATGTATGCATGTATGGAGTTCCTCCCCATGCTGTATGCGTCTTTAGCTGCCCGTTATAGAGGTCTTCAGACACTTCACATTAAGCAAGAACTTCACGTAATGTCCGCCACGTAAGGTCAGGTACGGCACGTATGTACGACCCTACGTACCAGCCCGTACAGCTTGTCCATATGCGCCGCTACCGACAGCTCCACTCGCTCCGCTGCAGCCAGCGCCGCAACCGCCCACTCCCGGCCCCACCGCTCGCCTGGTAATGGACCCCCCGATCCTTGTACGGCACCGGGCCCCCTTTGTCGTACACGCTCCCACAGTGTACCGCACTGCGCCATATCCTCATCCTCGTAAGTAATCTGCATGTGTGGATCCGCATCCACGCAGTGACGCGGCATGTGTGTGTATGTGCGTGTATGTGTGTGCGTGCCGGGGAAAGGGGGAAAGACGAACCACGAACGAGTGAAGGTGCTCCCAGGGCAAGAGTGTACCAAGAGTAGGGACGGGGGGGGAGTCATATGCAAGAAACTCAGAAATAAACTGCAGCCGGGAGGCGCACAAGAGGTCTCAAGAAATTGCCCCTAGGGAGTGAGTGCAAAGCGATGACGTCATCGACCCCCCGTGGTTTCGGAACCGAGCGGTGTAAGACGATAACTGCAACCCCTGTACCCGGGACGTACGGGAAAGATGGGGAAAAGGCCTTCAGCTGTTCAGTTGGATCCCACACCCCAACACCAACCGCCAACCGCGGGAAAAGTACATTTTGTCTTCGTCACCACGCAAGGACAGTGGATCCACAAAATCCACAGAATCCGCAATCTCCAGGGCGCTGCGAGCGCCCGTGAGCCGCGGCTCTGTGGCTCTGTTCCCTTTTGGCTCCCCCCCACCACCCCCAGTACCACCAGACCAGACCAGACCATGCCCCACGACTCTACCAGCTACCAGCGGCTAGTCCATCGCCCCAACCCCAGCCGCGATGGACCCAATGTGCACCACCACTTTAACCCCAATTAAGCGCACCAAGCAACTACACCTTAATAACACGTGTTTGAACTACGAACATTGTTATTGATCAGTAGAAATTGTAAGATAGTTAATCAATACTAACTGATATTGTTTATGGATTATACAGCTCCCTGTAAATACTCATAAGATTAAGAGAGAAATTCAAGTTGTTAGATGCTGAAAATAGATTAGGTTTTGAGTTGACTAACAAGGCTATTTATTGGGCTCATACCCCCGCTCCCCCAGGGCCCCCCCACCCCCACCCCCACCCCCACCCAGTCCACCCCCCCACCTGCGCACTCCGCAGTACAAGCCCCACCAGCTCGATGAGGTCGTCCCGGGCCAGTGCGCCAAGGTCGGTGCGCTCCAGGGAGGTACGGAACCAGTTCTGGGATCGGGGAGATGCGGGGAGGGGAGGGGACGAGGGGGGAAAGAGAGGGGGAAACCGTGTCTGTGTGTGGAGTTGTGTGTGGAGTTGGAAGAGGAGTTGGAGGAGTTGGAGGCCCTCTTCCCTCCCTCATTCCCCCCGCCACCCCGAGGGGACATTGCAAAACCCTAAAATGTACTGCAGTAATCCACTGCCACAACGGCACGACCCCGGTGGAGGCGGGGGTAACGGGGGGAAGGGTTTGGGGGTTAGCGGGTGGGGGAGAAGACCTCACCTCAAGTGCGATGTCCAGCAGCAACAAATCTCGGCTTGAACCTGGAGCCTGATCAGGACACACATACATCAATATTACACACAAAAAAAACAAGCGCAATTTCAGCAGGGGGTTTTAAAGACCGGGACCGAGGTGGGCTGGGGGGAGAAGGGGGAAACAACTGCGAATTGCGAAAAAAACCCTAATCATGAAGGGCCAAAATGGGAAAGCGAATTTACTCTTTGAGTTCCGAAAACTCGTTCCCGTGTTCCCCCCGGGATAGCAGTTACCGGTAATGGTTCCGTCCATCCGTCTGTACATATGTCTGTCTGCATGTCTCTGCCTGTGTCTGCCTGTGTCTGTCTGTCTGTCTGTTTAGTCATCAACTGGTGAAACCAACTGATGCACTGTCTCCCCCAACCTCACACCCGCTCCATCCTCAAGGTCAAACCGATCCCGCTACATGACCCATACACGCCATCTACCGCGCCCACAACCATTCACCGGCCGCACCCCACCCCACCCCAGCCCAGCCCAGCCCAGCCCAGCCCAGCCCAGCCCAGCCCAGCCCAGCCCAGCCCAGCCCAGCCCAGCCCAGCCCAGCCCAGCCCAGCCCAGCCCAGCCCAGCCCAGCCC